ACCACCTCGCGCTCAGTCAGCGCCCCTGGCATTAGCGCAACATCAATCGGAAGCGCAACAACACTTCCGCATTACCAGCGCTGGCTAGTGTGCCTCGCCTGGGCTGCCTTACTTCCTTTATGGAAGTGGCAGCGTACTTGATGTTGCGTCTGGCCTGGCTGGAAGCTTCCAGTAGCTTCTGGTTGGGCCTCAGACCCTGTGCCTAGGCCCGAGACTTACAGTTGAGGGCCTCGGCCCTTTTTAGTTGGGCACGGCCTGACTGTTTGTTGTATCCACGCAGGGCCCTCAGGTAGATGCGTCGGTAGTACTGCTTTTCCCAAGGTCTACGACCTGCTTCTCAATGTATCAACCCTGCTTTGTGTGTATGTGCCCAGGCGCAACTTTCGTGGCCTGGGCCAACTGTACCACGCTGCTTGGTGGGGCTCGCGCGTTCACTCAACCAACTAACGCTCTGCAAGAGCCTAAATACCCATATATGGAAATGTCAGATTTTGGCCTGTGACGAATATTCAGACGCGTACTCACTTAGGGCGGGCACTTGGCTTGCTGGGGCCTTAGCCCAGAACCTGCAACGTCTGATAGGGCCCCTTGAGGGCTCATTCCTGACAAATTGGACAAAACAAGAAGAAAGAGCGAGGTCACTCCCAGGTATGCACACACAAAGCGGGAAGTGGCGATTTACTGTGGAGTGAAGAAGTGGACAAAGCATGAGCTCAAGATGGCTAGAACACTAGAACGAGCAAGAATACAAGTTGCGATTTACATCCATGTGAAGAATTCGACGAAACAAGAAAAAAAAATGAGTTTAACTCACTCCCAAGCATGCACAAACAAAGTGAGACGTAGCGATTTACTATGGAGTGAAAAAATGGACAATGCATGAGCTCAAGATGACTAAAACACTACAATGAGCAAGGATACAAGTAATGATTTACACCCACGTGAAGATTGGGACAAAACAAGAAGAAAGATTGAGTGAAACTCACTCCTAAGCATGCATACATAAAGTGAGAAGTATCGATTTACTATAGAGTGAAAAAATGGACAATTCATAAGCTCAAGATGACTATGATAAAAGAATGAGCAAGAATACAAGTTGCGATTTTACACCCAAGTGAAGAATTTGACAAAAAAGAAGAAAGAGTGAATGCAACTCACTCCCAAGCATGCACACACAAAGTGGAAAGTGACGATTTACTATGGTGTGAAGAAATGCACAACGCATAAGCTCAAGATAACTAGAACACTAGTATGAGCAAGATTACAAGTTGCGATTTACAACCAAGTGAAAAATTGGACAAAACAAGAATGAAGAGTGAGTGTAACTCACTCCAAAGTATGCACAAACACAGTGGGAAAGAGCGATTTACTATGGAGTGAAGAAATAGACAATGCATGAGCTCACGATGACTAGAACACTAGAACGAGCAAGATTACAAATTGCGATTTACACCCAAGTAAAAAAATTGACAAAACAAGAACAAACAGTGAGTGTAACTCACTCCCAAGCATGCACACACAGTGAGAAGTGACAATTTACTATAGAGTGAAGAAATGGACAATGTATGAGCTCAAGATGACTAGAATTACGGAATGAGCAAGAATACAGGTTGCAATTTATACCCAAGTGGAGACTTGCACAAAACAAGACGAAAGAGTGAGTGTTACTCACTCCCAAGCATTCACACACAAAGCGGAAAGTGGCGATTTAATATGGCGTGAAAAATTAGACAATGCATGCGCTTAAGATTACAAGAACACTAGAACGAGCAAGAATACAAGTTGCAATTTACACCCAAGTGAAGAATTGGACAAAACTGGAACAAAGAGTGAGTGTAACTCACTCCTAAACATGCACACACAAACTGAGAATAACGATTTACTATGGAGTGAAAAAGTGAATAGTGCATGAGCTCAAAAAGACTAGAATACTACAATGAGCAAGAATACAAGTTGCGATTTACACCAAAGTGAAAAATTTGACAAAACAAGAAAAATGAGTGAGTGTAACTGACTCCAAAGCATGCACACACAAAGTGGAAAGTGGTGACTTACTATGGAGTGAAGAAATGGACAATGCATGAGCTGAAGATGACTAGAACACTGGAATGAGCAAAAATACAAGTTGCGATTTACACCCAAGTGAAGATTTAGACAAAACAAAGAGAATGAGTGAGTGAAACTCACTCCCAGACATGCACTCACAAAGTGGAAAGTGACGATTCACTATAGAGTGAAGAAAATGGACAATGCATGAGCTCCATATGACTAGAACACTAGACAAAGTAAGAATACATGTTGCGATTTACACCCAAGTGAATAATTGGACGAACCGAGAAGAGAGAGTGAGTGTAACTCACTCCCAAGCATGCATACACAAAATTGAAAGTACTGATTCACAATGGAGTGAAGAAATGGACAAAGCATTAGATCAAGATGACTAGAATACTAGTATGAGCAAGAATACAAGTTACGATTTACATCCAAGTAAATAATTCAATAAAACAAGACTAAAGAGTGAGTGCAAGTTACTCCCGATTTACTATAGAGTGAAGAAATGAACAACGCATGAACTCAAGATCACAAGAACACTAGAACGAGCAAAGGCTACAGGTTCCTATTTACACCCAAGTGAAAAATTGGTTAAAACAAGGAAAAAAAGTGAGTGTAACTCACTCCCAAGCATGCAAACACAAAGTGGGAAGTGACGATTTACTATCGAGTGAAGAAATGGACAACGCATGAGTTGAAGATGACTAGAACACTAGAATGATCAATAATAAAAGTTGCGATTTACACCCAAGTGAAAAATTATAGAAAACAAGAACAAAGAGTGAATGTAACAGACTCCCAAGCATGCACACACAAAGTGGGAAGTGAAAATTTACTATGGAGTGAAGAAATTGACAGTGTATGAGCTCAAGATGACTAGAACACTAGAATGAGCAATAATAAAAATTGTGATTTACACCCAAGTGAAAAATTGAACAAAACAAGAAGAAAGAGTGAGTGTAACTTACTCCGAGGCATGACCACACACAATGGGAAGTGACGATTTACTATGGACTGAACAAATGGACAATGCATGAGCTCAAGATTACTAGAACACTTGAATGAGTAAGAATACAAGTTGCGATTTACACCCAAGTGAAGAATTGGAGAAAATAAAAGGAAAGAGTGATTGTAACTCACTTTCACGCATGCACACATAAATTGGGAAGTGGGGATTTATTATGGAGTGAAGAAATTGACGATGCATACGCTTAAGATGACTAGAACACTAGAATGAGCAAGAAAAAAAGTTGCGATTTACACCCAAATGAAGAATCAGAAAAAGCAACAAGAAAGAGGCAGTGTAACTCACTCCCAAACATGCACACACAAACTGAGAATAGTGATTTACTATGGAGTGAGGAAGTGAACAGTGCATGAGCTGAAGAAGACTAGAACACGATAATGAGCAAGAATACAAGTTGGGATTTACACCCAAGCAGGGTTGTCGACCCCCGGACCCGGGGCCCCGACGGGGGTCCCGGGGGTCGGGGGTCGGCACCCCCGGCCCCGACTTTCCAAA